TTTCTCTATACAAGCAAAAATAGAAAGGGTAGTGAATATGTGGCAGCTTTAACAGAAAAAAAGAAAAAGGGGGCAAGGTTTCAGAGCAGGGGATGCCTCCATCGGGCAGCAGGAGGCTTTAGGTGCATTTTGTAGTTAAGTATGGTCAGGAACGCTGACAAAGGTTTAAGCTTAATTTATTTCTTAAAAGTTATCCTGATTTTTTATTAATTAACTATAATTTTACTACATTTAAGGAGGTTGTTCATAATATATATTTTAAGTGGTTCTGTATCTGTTCAACATACTCCACTTGTTAATGCTTCTTCCAGCATAAGAGGCAGAAACTTCCTGGTAATGATGGCCCTCTTGTCAGGAATGACAGCATGCTGTTATTTTACTTCGAAAATAAAATGATCGAACACTGAGTTAGAAAAAGGAAGCACAAATTATAACTCACAACACATAGATAACTGACTTCATTTGGATCTATAATTACAGTATCTCATAACTTCACCAGCTTCAGAAAAGTGCCCCAAGCACTTAGTCTACACAGATACTAGGAATTGAAAAAGTTATATCATTTCTGTTACAGTTTTGCCTATAGAAAACTATTTGTAATTGAACAAAACTGAGAATCTCTGTGCCATATATGTATTTAGTAGATAACTTAGGGATCCTGGCTATGCTTGGTCTGGTCTGGAGACCATTCTCTTAGGCCTGTTATTGTTTTATTATTTTGTTTCTAGATCACAATGACTATCATATTTTTACTTGATGAACATTTAGAAATCCTCAAAAATGCACTGATTTACTTATTTTATCTTTTTGTCTCTTGATTTTTTTATTATGAATGCTATTTGCTTTAATACCTTTTATAATGTGAAGTTTATATGATTTCTGTTTCATACAACCGGCTATAAATCTACCTTAACTATCAAGAATTAGGGATACGGTATTTTCCAGTAGGAAAAAGCTTGTGACAAATGGACAAAGTTTAGGAATAAAATCTCTTAGAGTAAGCAATAGAATGCTCTAATTAATGAGAAGGAATCAAAACTCAAGATGAGCAAAGGGACTTCAAGGAAATACCCGTCTGTTCTGAATGAGCTCAGGTCTCTTGACTGGGTAGGTGAGCTTCCCAAAGGCTCATAGTATTCTGAATGGGATTGCAGTCACTGTTATCTCTGAGGACTGCTGAGAGGGTAATATGCAAATGTTGTTCCATGTATGAAATGCTATTGGATGTCTCCAGACGAGGCTATAGAGTATATTATTAAAGTGTGACTTTCAAGAGTTAGGGTTTATTTATTTATTTGTATTTATTTAGGGGTCACAGTGTATAGCCCTGGCTAATCTGGGAACTCAGTATGTAGAGTAGGATGGCTTGAACTCATGGAGAACCATCACTTGTGCCTCCTGACTGTTGAGATTAAAGGTCTGTACCATTATATCCAGTCTAAGGTATATTAGTGAAGGCTGTGATCCTTGGGCTAATTTTATATTCACTAAGAGATAGCATATGACCCTTGCTATTTCATTAAAATTTTTCTTTATTATACTACTTTGTGTGTATTTATGTGCACCACAATACATGTACGGATGTCAGAGAACAACTTACAGGAGCTGGTTTTTGCCTTCCGTCGTGTGCATCCAGGGATTAACTTGAGCTTGTGAGGATTGGCAGCAAACATCTTTACATGTTGGACTATCTTGCCCATTTCTATGTCAATTCCTTTTTCTTAATTTTAAGATTTTAAAATTATATGCATATATAATTTATATCTAACTATGCATTGCATTTGTTCTCGACTCCCATAGAGGTGGGAAGAGGGCCCAGATCCTTTTGAACTAGAGGTACAGATTGTTGTGGGTCTCCATTTAGATGCTGAGAACTGAACCCAGGTCTTTGCAAGAGCAGCAAGTACTTTTTAATTTCTGAGCCATCTTGCCAGCCCTCCTTTCATTTTTGTGTCTATGGTTACTAGCTCTAAAAACTATTTTAGGCATAGAACATATGAACTTTTAGGAAGATGGCTGATAGTTTGTTTACTATTACTAAAGTAGCTATAAGTAACTTTAGGCTATTTGTTGAAGTAATTATCGGTTTTATAATGATATGTATGGGGAACAGTATTTAGTGAATGGAACTAGTAACAACTAAGAGGATGTGGCGTGTGAAGTTCTAGCCTTAACACACATTGAACATGCATTTTATATGTGTGTGTGGGTATGTATGTATGTATGTATACATACACACAAATAATTTATGTACTTATACATATGTGTGTACATGCTGTTTTATATGCAAATATTTGAGTGTAGATTATATAAGCTATATACTTACTTACACTGACATTTGTGGTTCTGTCCTTGCATCTGAAAGCAAGTACTCACAGAAAAGATTGGGAAATACTGGTTTCAAGGGATAAGTAATGTAAAGGAAAAAGTATAAAATGTCTGGGCAAAGATCCAGAAATGCATGTAGGACATTCACCTGCCAAGAGGGACTGAAGTGAGGAATGGGAAGGCCATCAGGTGTGGGACATGAGCTTTCCCACTATTTTTTCTCTTTAGAGCCACATGTCTTAGACTCAAATTCTCTGTGTGTGTTTCATCCTAGTAATGTGTCTAATTCTGTACCACACACAGGATGCTTTACCCTTATAGTTGCTAAGAACACTTAACTGCCTAACTCTTCAATACTTCCAGAACTAGTTGGCTTATTCCTGTCTATATTGTCTTATTCCTGTGTCCAATATCTAACTTGAGGCTATCAGTCAACCATGGGTAGGTGATGGGTAGACAGTCACATTACTAAATAGCAGTATGTATAAAGTCAAATGGGCATTAATTAACATAGTATAACATAAAATTGCTAAAATATGGAAGAGTGGTGTAGACTCAGGTTCTACTAGAAAGTATTGCTAATATTGTGGCTAATAGCATACTTGAGTCTTTTCTTGTTCTGTTCTCTAATAGCCACACTGAGCCAATCAGTTCTAGACATCATGCTGGGAAACAAGGACAAGTTCAGGGAAAGCTAGGGTGAGATGGAGACTCGAAAGCTTGTTATTTGTGAAGGAACTGGAGGTTCCTGAGGAAGAGAAATCTGAGGAAGAGAAAACATGGCATGTTCCTGATGACTGTTAGAAGTCACAAGCTGTGTTCAGATCTTAGAGTGAGCTCTGTGTGAGAGAGCAGGTTATTTTGTATGGTTACTGAGGACTGTTGATGTGGGGAGTGGTGGGGTGAACATGAGAGGGTTTCCTGGAAGACAGAACTTGCAGAAAATGCAATAGGCTGCATTGGGAAGGAGTTCCTCATCCTTTGGGATGTCAGAACAGAGGCCGGACAATATATCTCACTCAGAGTAGACCCAAAGAACACATCTAAAGCTTAAACCAAGTCACTTATGATTTCTTTGAAACCTAGTTTTATAAATACATACATTTAGTATCAGTGGCAGGGGATTGACAAAATCATTCACACATTGTATTCTGGCCTTTGATGTGAAATTGCTAACATTTAAGTGAGACACTTTTATTTTATAACATTTGTTATTCATTTGTTCCAAGTGACACTTATGATATAACATAGTTACAGGATCACTGTCTACCTCCTCTTGCTGTAACAGTTACAGGGACACTGTCTAC